ATGGGAATCGTCGAGGACTCTGGTTATACCCAATTGGTGAAACATCCCCTATAAATAAACATGTCTATGTACTCCTTATATGTATATTACCAAGATTATATGCATATTTATATGTTTATTTTAAACCATCATATAAAAATATTGTTATACATTATGAAACATTAATTTAAAAGATATTTTCTTGAATCATTTCTAAATGTTAGTTTAAAAAAAAAAATTCTTTATTGACCAAAAAAAAGCAGTTTTCACAAAAATCTTGTGGTCTCTGTCTCCTGAACTAGTAAATACTGTGTTTCAGGAGACAGCAACTTCTCTTATCTATTGCCAAAAAGACATATTAAATTGTATTTAACTTTCATAAGACTTATAAACTAGGAACAGCTTAAGACACTTATGATCTGATATATAAAAAAACATAATTAGTGTAGCCCATCCATCCATCCACATCACATCCATCTAAACATTCGCATTTATAATATTAGTAAGTTAAATAAAAAGCAGCTCTACAAGGCATAAATTTGAAAAAAATGAATAAATAGTATCCTATGTCCATCTCCTGGCTCTAAGCTACCTCCTCAACAATTTTCAGGCATATCAGTAAAGTCGTTCTTGAGTTATAAATAGTGTAACTAACACCACTTTCTTTTATATATACATAGATTTATTTATATTTAAATTTAATGAATATAACTATATTACCTGTCGCCTGCAACTCCGTCCGACTAGAGCCGGTAGCCTATGTATTCTTCCAGACTATGTTCTACATATGTGGCAAATTGCATCAAAATCTATTAGACTGTTCCAGAGATACCTGCAAACATCTTCTAAACATTCGCATTTACAATATTAGTCAGATATAATATTAAAAATTGAGCACCACCCGCTGCAGAATCCTATACCTCAAGCAACCAGCAGTCAAGTAGAGACAGGAACCTTACTATGTATGTAGGTTCTAGAATTATTATTATTATCCTCACTTGCCTTAAAGATGTACCCCTGACAGCAGACAGCCTTTAGCAGACGATTATATGTGACTTAATTTGTTCCTAATTAATTTAAAAAGACATTTTTTAATCAAACAATTGTTTAAACTTTACACTGGGGTGAATAGAATCAAAATTAAAAACGCTTAGTATAGTAACATTTAATAATTTTAACAAATCTGTAGTTTTATCTGTGTAGTACAAATATAAACGAAAGTCCAAAAGACAGAGACATTTTTCTCGCTTATAGAGGATTCTCTCTAACCAGAGTTTCTCGCTTAGAGAGATTTCTCTTTAACCCGAGTTTCTCACTCATAGAGGTATCTCTCTGCCCACAGTTTCTCGCTTATAGAAGTATCTCTCTAACCAGAGTTTCTCGCTTATAGAGGTATCTCTCTAACCAGAGTTTCTCGCTTATAGAGGTATCTCTCTAACCAGAGTTTCTCGCCTAGAGGTTTTTCTTTAACCAGTTTCTCGCTCATAGAGTTAGCTTGAGTTTCTCATTATGGATGTCCGTCGACAATGGATAGTGTTGTTGGTACGAAAACCTTTTAATATTGTTTAAAAACGATTTGTTTTGTATTCATTTACCCCATTTTAAGTGTACTTTTGTTGTGATTATTATATTTTATACTGTTTTTGTTTGTTACATATAAAAAAGAAATAAAAATCATATTTTCGAAAATAGCGTTTATTATTTCAACTTAGAAAATCACGTAAAAAATTCTATACTACTAAAAACATACAGAATTTTTTTTTATAAATATTAAATAAAACATATAAGTATTTTCTGAATAATTTATATGTTTGAATTCAATAGAAATCAGATATAACAATTTTTTTTTTAATTTAACCTTTTTAACTCAAAAATTTTAATTAATGCATGATTTTTCCAAACCTTTCGAAATAAAATATTAAATACATCGATATTATAATAAAAATAAAAGAAAATCTAAATAATTTTTAATCTATCGTTTTTGAAATAGTCATAAAACAGTATACAAAACTTATATCGGCCAAACAATACTTTCAATCCAACTTATATAACTTGAAACTTTCGTATAAACAGCTGGTTGGTCACTTTGACCACATTTCCCACCGAAAGATGTCACCCCCATGACATAATAAATACAATCATTACCCATACTTGATACTTGTAAGGGTGATCCTGAATCGCCCTGAAAGGATTCAATAAAAAAAATTAAAAACAGGGCGGGCGTTAGGTAAGGGCGCCCAGGGCGCCGACAAAAAAAAGACGCCCAGGGCAAACACTAGAAAAAGGCGCCATATATCTACGAATTACTGTCTCTTAACCTTGCTAAACTTATAAAGGCATTGTAAACAAAAAGGGCACCAAAAAATCTTGCCCAGGGCGCTAGTAGAGATCCATAGAATGTCACCAATTATATGGCAAAGCGGATATATCCTTTGTCCCCTTCCCTGTCAGTTAACAGCAATGATTTAATCTTATCATCATCAGCGTTACGTCCCCACTGAGGGGCTCGGAGCCTACCCTAAGTTAAGAGTGATTAGGCCATAGTCAACCACGCTGGACAAGTGCGGGTTGACTTCACACATATCTTTGACTTTCTCAGATATGTGCAGCATCACGATGTTTTCCTTCAACGTAACGTCGGATAAATGTACATATGTAAAATCGGAAATGGAATTCGATCTCAGGATCTGCAGATTGCAAGACAAGTGCTTAACCCCTGAACCACAAACGCTCTTCTATTATATACAAAATTACCTGACACGTATCTTTTCCGCCGCGTATTTCTCCAGCGCAAATCTGCGTTTGTGAAAATCCATGCCACAATCTATTTATATTGTTTTTTAATAACATATCACACGTATCAGTGTCTAATAATGTTAGTGAAACTTTTTGGAGATCATTCGCTAATTTATATTTACCTAAAAAAATATAAAAATACTAGCTGTCGCCCGCGACTCTGTCCACGTATATAGAAAAACTTTATTAGTGTAGCCTATGTGTTCTTTCAGACTATGTTTTATACGTATGACAAATTTAATTAAATCAGTGGTTCCCAAACTTATTTTGTCTACTGCCCACTTTGGGAATAAATATTTTTTTAGCGCCCCCCATATTTTCACATATTTAAAAACCACTATAACTTCAAATTAAATTGATTATTGTAACCTATATATGTATATTAACGGAGAATTGTAAACGAAACTATTACTATAACCCGCAACTTGAGACCTGCAGCCCACAAGAGGGCGTTATCGCACACTTTGGGAAAGACTGGTTTAGACGTATGTTTGTAAGAAGATATAATAGGTAGAGCATGGGAAGAACTAGAACTACTAATAAAGTTTTTTTTTAATTCAACAGAGTATGTACTAGTCTCTAAATACTAACGCGGATCGGTAGTTCCCCATCCCGTCGCATAGGCTATGGTATACTGTCCAAAGTCTGGTTTCTGCCATAGACATGCAGGTCGAATAGAACTGTCAATGTCAATGTCAGCTGCCAACTCTAAAATTGCAATATCATGATATTTCATTGGTGGTTTGTATTCTGGATGTACATGAATTGTTTTTATTGGTACCTATAAGAAAAAAAATCAATTTTAAAACTATACGTCCCCACAGAGATTCGGAGCCTACCGTAAGGAAGGGGTGATTTGTCATTATATTGTTATTCATCATCATCAGCTCACATGTCCCCACTGAGGAGCTCGGAGTCTACCCTAAGTTAAGGGTGATTAGGCCATAGTCAACCACGCTGACCAAGTGCGGGTTGACTTCAGACATTTGACTTTCTCAGATATGTGCAGCATCATGATGTTTTCCTTCACCGTAACGTCGGATAAATGTACATATGTAAATAGAAAAACACATTGGTACATGGCGGGATTCGAACGCAGGACCTGCAGATTGCAAGTCAAGGGTTTTTTTTTTCAAATTTTGCAAATTAAAGAAACACATCCTGGTTACTAATGGAGTTGAAATTTATCACACGTGTAAATCGCATGCAATATTATGATGACACAGTGCTAAGCAGATGATGTGTGTGATGTGCCTCGGTGCGCGTGGCATCGCTGACAAGATGCAGGAGAGTAGGCTGCGATGGTATGGTCATGTAAGGAGGAGGCCGCCAGACTACGTCGGTAATTTAGTGCTACAACTCTCCCTCCCTGGTCACAGATCCAGAGGCAGACCCAAAACGAGATGGAAAGATGTAGTAATAAAAGGCATGAGTGAGTGCCAAGTCTCAGAAGATGTCATGGACAGAGCGAAGTGGAAGAGACGGATTGGGAAAGCTGACCACAACACCTTGTGGGATACAAGCTTGGGAGAGAGAGAGAGTGCTAAGCAGATGATGAAGCTGGAAGTTGGACATAGGAACTTAGCAATAAAACGACAGCACCAAGTTTGGGCTCACTAACGAGATTTTTTTTAATATTAAGTACTTCTAATTAACGAGAACATAAAAGCTTGCTTTAAAAATGTGTACATTTATTTTTGAATTAGATTCGTGTTAGTGCTTAGTTAAGTTACTAAGTAAGAATTTGAAGGAAGAATTACTCAATAGACAGTGCTGATGTTTGGAAGGAGGATGAAAGAGTACAGTCTCAAATTGAAATTGCATTATACAGCGTGTCCCAAAATTCAACGATAAAACGGAAATTGTGTATAGCCAGCTCGATAACTACATAAATATAAAATACAAAGAGATGTCCTTACCCTGTCTTACCCTGCATTATCAAAAGTAATAAATGTATGTCTATCTCGCTCGCACCTCAAAATCTATGAATAACGGTTTTTTTTTACTTTTTTGAACACTAAACTGATATATAAACACGGCTTAACACTCACGTATATACGTCCCATCGTATCAGGATGAGTGGTACAGGTACCAGTGCCACTCATCCTGATGAAGGGCCCCCGATGGGCTCGAAACTAGTCGGTGCCACCGGACTTATATACGTGAGTGTTTAACCGTGTTTATATATCAGTTTAGTATAATGTCTCATGAAAGTTTGAATAATTTTTTGAACACTTAATAAAATTTAAAATATTCAATTTTAGTTCTTAATTTTTTTTTTTAGACAATTTTCGCATGTTTTATCATTGTGTTGTAGCATTTTAGAATCTTGATGAGTTGCGCGTACTTTTTTAATTTAGTGCCATGGTACTCTTCATACATTTTTTTTACGAAATTTCAAGAAAACAGTTAAAGTTAATTATTTTTGTGCATAAATTACGAATGTTTTGGTCCAATTTTTAACTTCAATTAATAGATATGTTACTTAGGTAGCTAATACAAAAAAAAATCGCTGGTATATCTTCATATTTGTAGCCACAGTGTCTAATCGTATGGTGGACGTTATCAAATTATAAGAAAATTACACAAGTTAATGTAACTTTTAAATAAAAAGAGATAGATTTTTTTTAGTATTTTTCCCGGTGTAGTTATCTAGCTGGCTATACATAATTTCCGTTTTATCGTTGAATTTTGGGACATCCTGTATATATAAGGTAGAAAACAAGCAAGCGGTCACGAGGATTCAAATACCGTAGTAAATAAACCACTTACATCTATGGGACTTGCGCCATCTTCCACTGAGGTGTTCAAATTAAGATCCCCCAATCTGACTATAGCCGGTGTTGGATCTTTAGCACGAGGGTTTCTGGAGCAATGTGCCGCTGTCAAAACATGCCTCGTACTAATAAGTGAACCACCACAACTGAATATGTATTGACCGTCTGTGTTCACCCAACCAACTGCAGCCTGGAAAAAAAGCCCCAAAGAACCCATTGGACCCACTGGAGTCCAAAATCTTACTAATAAATGCGAATGTTTGGATGTATGTTTGTGTGAAGATATCTGAGGAACGGCTGTACGGATCTAGATAAAATTTGCAATAGATTTAGACCACAGTCTGGAAGAACACATAGGATACTTATTAAGTTTTAATTCAACGCGGACAAAGTCACAGTCAACAGGTAGTATAATAATAAAGTATTAACTAATTTGAATCTAGCTTCAATATTTCATCATCATCAGCTCACTATACGTCCCCACCGAGGGGCTCGGAGCCTACCCTAAGTTAAGGGTGACTGGGCCATAGTTAGGGTGAAATAGAGAGGGTACGCTGACCAAGTGAGGGTTGACTTCACACATATCTTTGACTTTCTCAGATATGTGCAGCATCACGATGTTTTGTAAATGTAATACATTGCTACATGGCGGGATTCGAACCCAGGACCTGCAGATTGCAAGTCAAGTGCTTGACCCCTGAGCCACCGATGTTCAATATTTATTCAAATAAATAAAAAAGGGCGCTGCAAAAGATAACAAAGCGTTAACTCTTACCATATGTGGAAATTCTCCTAGATTCGCCTTCTCTCCACCAACCACCAGTTCGATGTACGTATGATAACAATTTGGCGTTGACACCGACTTTGGTGACTCGTCTGGCACAAGAGGGGAGTAGACAACATTATGTGTCACAATGCGACTGTATTCTTCGCATTCTGAGAAATAAAAAGTAAATCCTAAAGATGTCCATGCAAAACTTCCCATTGACAAGGCTTGAGACTGCCCCTGTAAGACTAAGCTTTAGTTAACATGCCCTCCACTGCCCTAAGTAAGACTAGGCCTCAATCAACACGCTCCCTTTACCCATAATAAACATAGGCCTCAGTCAATACGTTCCCCACTGCCCTAAGTAAGACTAGGCCTCATACAACACGCACCCATTGCCTTAAGCTCTTACCGACATTCCTTACTACTTACTCTTTCGTCTTATTACACTCACGTGGCTTTGGCACACGAGTTTTATAAACTTGAAAATTCTACCTTGATTTTTACAACCAACAGCCTGTCTTTCGCCAACCCTACCGTAATGCCACCTTAAATCAGGGCCAGACTTAGGTTAGGGCGTGGGGCGATCGCCCAGGGCGCTAGACTGTAAGGGACGCTACAGCTTTGTGAATTAGTCTTATATAACCTTGTTAAACCGCCTCAAAGGCATAGCAAAAAAATGTGGGCGACGTAAAAATATCGCTCTGGGCGCTAGACCTAAAACTGTTCCCGTCTTTAATATTTCAATCGACGACTATAAAAAAAGATAAGGAAATAATAACTCACTTCTTTCACTGACTCTTCTATTATCAGTAAAATCTTTGCCGTTTCTAGAAAAAAAAGTAATTAATAATTTTTGAAGAGATGTGACTGCTGTTGGAATCTTCATTAAGTAGGTTGAAGGTTGTCCGAAGGTCCTTGTCTACCTTCAATAGTGGGGACTTATAAAAGAGGATACTGTCTTGGTTCTTGTACCAACCAATATCTAAACAACGACCTAACAAGGTGGATACTTACTAAGTAAATTATAAAGTTAATATTGTAGATAAAAGTCTTAGTAAGCTGGTGGAAGGTAGACGAAGGAAAGAGGACTAAAATTTGTTATCAAACAAAATCTTTGACTCCGTATTACTCACCTAAGGGCGACAGGTTCAGCCGCTTGTAAAATACTACTGCCATCTCTGCAGCAGACCAGGACATTACTGAACGAATGTTCACAGAATGTAGGTTTGATACCGTTCATACTGGAAGTAAAAGTATTAATTATGTCGGTGGCTCAGGGACTAAGCGCCTGACTTATAAGCAGCAAGTCCTGGGTTCTAATCATGTCATGTAATATTAGGAAGAAAATCAGAAAATGTGGCAATGTATTAACTCAACACTAGCCTTACTAAAATATGTAACGACGTTTATGTCCCCTCACTACATCTGACACTTGACTTTGTAACGAAATCGCGTCATTCGCGCCAAAGGATTTTAATTAATAATGTCTAAAAGTACCAACGTATTTTTCGATTTACATATATATTAATCCGACGTTCTCACAGTGAAGGAAAACATCGTGATGCTGCACATATCTGCGACGAAATTCAGGTCAGCTTGGTTGGCCTAGTCACCCTTAACTTCGGGTAGGCTCCGAGCCCCACCACGGACCTGCTCGGTTGTCCGGGTGGGCGGAGAGGTGAACTCCGACGTGGCGCGTCCCCGG